AGAGCTTCACTTGGTCAAGGGCCCTACAACCCCAAAATCCTAAGACCCCAAACCGGTTTAGGCGTTAGCGGGGAAAGGCTTAGGGGTTAGGAAACCTAAAACCCCAAAACTCGAACACCCTAACACCCTAAAACCGTAAGACCCTAACATCCTAGCAAGCCTAAAACCCTAAAAACCTAAAAACCCTAAAACCCTAAAACCCCAAAACCCATAAAACCGTAAAACCCTAACACCCTCAACCCGGCTGAGCATGCGTCGTGGTCAGGAAGGCATCGTCGCACTCAGCGAAAAAGGGGCTCTTCCGTAGCTTCTCCTTGCACCCCGAGGCTCAAAGGCAACTGAAGCTTGCTTTAGGGTTTTGGGTTTAGGGTTTAGGGTTTAGGGTTTAGGGTTTAGGGTTTAGGGTCTAGGGTCTAGGGTTTAGGGTTTAGGGTTTAGGGTTTAGGGTTTAGGGTTTAGGGTTTAGGGTTTAAGGTTTCAGAAACATGTTAAAATCAAAAAACTAAACCCTAAAGCCCAAAACCCTAAACCCTAAACCCTAAACCCTGAACCCTGAACCCTAAACCCTAAACCCTAAACCCTAAACCAAGGCTGCAGACAAGCCACGTGGCTCAGCGTGCCCGCGGTGACGGAGGTGGAGGCGAGGAAGCGGGACATGGGGGGCCTCGCCATCGCCGCAAAGACAAAGAGGGCTTGGGGTCGAGGGTTTAGGGTTTCGGGCTTAGGGCTTAGGGTTTAGGGTTTAGGATTTAGGGTTTAGGATTTAGGGTTTAGGGTTTAGGGTTTAGGGTCTCGCGTTTATCAGGGACTCTGGGGGCAGCACCAGGCTCCTGTATCGGGCAGGGGTGGGGGGGGAATTCTTGGCTGCACTTAGGAGGGTAGCTATGAATTAAAGTCTTAGCTGCCTTTCTGGGGAAGCCCAATAGACCCAAAAAGGCGAAAGATCTAAAGTTACAGTAAAGCACCACAAAGAATTGAATCCGACAACTTAGTTGGCCGAATGGGGCTACTTTAGGGGCCTTAATACTGGGTTTTTGGGGGGTTAGTACAGTTAACGATAAGGGGCCATAAGGGAATGCTATGAGTAATTCTTCCGACCCCTTTTGTAGACAGAAACCCAAACCCAAGCCCCAGACCCTGGGCACGATATTTTCAGCTTCAGGGACCCTAAACCCTAAACCCTGAACCCTAAACCCTAAACCCTTTTGCCTCACTGAGTGCCCTTTGCCGGCCCGGATCCGGCGCAAGTCAAGCAGGCATGCACTGCCCTAGCTGTAACCCCCACACCTCAACATTGAGCACTTAACCCTAAACCCTGAACCCTAAACCCTAAACCCCAAACCCCAAACCCTAAACCTTGAAGTGCTTGGGGCAGTTCGGGCTGCAGCTTCTTTGATCTGGGGGGTGGGTCGAAGGTCTGGGGCTTATGGAGGGTATGTGGGCCGCGCCACCACAAAACAAAGCCCTTGCGAGGCTTGAGACGGAGATTGCTTCCGCGGTGCCGCAATCTTTTTTAGGGTTTAGGGTTTAGGGTTTAGGGTTTCGGGCTTAGGGCTTAGGGCTTAGGGCTTAGGGCTTCGGGCTTGGGGCTTAGGGCTTAGGGTTTAGGGTTTCTGGTTTAGGGTTTAGGGTTTCGGGTTTGGGGTTTGGGGTTTGGGGTTTGGAGTTTGGGGTTTGGGTTGTAGGCGTGTGGGTATGCTAGAAGTAGGTTGGAAGCAGGGAAACTGGAGCATCAGCCCCTTTAAGTACCCCAATAGGGTTGTATAGTTGCGTTCGAAGTACAGGAATCATTGGGTGACGAACTACCCCCCCTACGTCCCCCCCCAAAATGAAGGTCATTATTTAGGGGTAATGACGCCTAATTCAGGCTAAGAACCCCTAAACCCTAAACCCTAAGCCCTAAACCCTAAACCCTAAACCCTAAACCCTCTTTTGATCTGCGAAAAGCGCCAAGCAGCAGCTCGCCCGGCTCAAGTCCGCACGACGGTCCCTCTTACAGCAAACTCCAACAAGTTGGAACACCCTCATCCCCCCTGCCGTTTGGGGTTTAGGGTTTAGGGTTTAGGGTTTAGGGTTTAGGGTTTAGGGTTTAGGGTTTAGGGTTTAGGGTTTAGGGTTTAGGGTTTCGGGTTTAGGGTTTAGGGTTTAGGGTTTAGGGTTTAGACTAAAGGGAAATCCCAGCTCGAATCATCCTTAAAGCCATGTTCCAACTCTTCGGAGTTTGCTGTACATAATTTTAAAGCCGCTCAGGGACCCCTTCGCGCATTCGCAGGTGTGCGCTCTTCGCATTTTGGCTACACGACCAGACATCCGGCCATGGCCTCCCGGTGCGCCTCGCTCAGTCGCTGCAAGGCTTGTTTCAGCACCGTTTGGTCCTCTCCAGCAAGGGGTTTAGGGTTAGGGTGTAGGGTTTAGGGTTTAGGGTTTAGGGTTTAGGGTTTAGGGTTTAGGGTTTAGGGTTTAGGGTTTAGGGTTTAGGGTTTAGGGTTTAGGGCTTAGGGTTTAGGGTTTAGGGTTTAGGGTTTAGGGAGACTTTCACGACAGAACCCATAGAATGTGGGCACCACTCAGGGAATACTAAGGGAGCATCAAGGCACCGTGAACGGACCTTTACCTACACTAAGGCTGGTCTTATGAGAGACTCCACTCTTTGCTTCCTGATATTGGGTTTCCAAGGCTTCAAAAGACGATCCTACGGGCGTCCGTAAGAGGGAACTGCAGGAATAGACGTACATAAAGGTCCTATATCCCTGTTATATGGGGAGTTCTCTAACTCAGCGTCACTTTTGGGGTTCCGTATTCTAAGGGTGCCGTACGATATAGGGACCCAAAAGGAGACCCTCGTTTAGAGAACCACCCATGCACCTGCCATATTCCTGGGGGTTTGGGCCTTACGGTACGTAACCAACAAAAAGGTAAACATCACAATATGTCCGACAACGGCTGAGATGATTTCAGGGCCTGCCCTTTGAAGGCTTCTCGTGCTTCTCAGGTTTTCACCCGCCTACTTTGGTACCAGAACCCCAAAAGCCTAAACCCCTAGACCCCTAAACCCCTAGACCCCTAAACCCCTAGACCCCTAAACCCCTAAACCCCCAAACCCCTAAACCCCTAGACCCCTAAACCCCTAGACCCCTAAACCCCTAAACCCCTAGTCCCAAACCCTAGCCCTAAACCCTAAACCCTAACCCCTAGTCCTAAACCCTAGCCCTAAACCCTAAACCCTAAACCCTCAACCCCCCTAATCCCCTGTCCGGCTCACCGAGGCCCGAGGCTTGAAAGCGAAGTTGCAGCAATCGCAGGCCGCGCATCTGGCAGCAAAACGGAGTTTTTTGGGGGGAGATTCCTATCTTAGGGTTTAGGGTTTAGGGTTTAGGGTTTAGGGTTTAGGGTTTAGGGTTTAGGGTTTAGGGTTTAGGGTTTAAGGTGTAGGGTTTAGGGTTTATATAGGGTTTATATAGGGCTTAGGGTTTATATAGGGTTTGGGGTTTGGGGTTTAGGGTTCAGGGTTTAGGGTTTAGGGCAAAAGTGTTTGAGCTTTTTTCGTTGGAGTTTTGTGGGATTCTTTTGGCGGGGGGGGGGGGTTCAGGGTTTGCTGTTTTGGGGTTTAAGGTATCCCCGAAACCCTAGACCCCGACAGTGGGGTCTCAGGGTCTGAGCTAAAAGCACGCCAAGGTCACCGCGGCTTGCGCTTGCTTGAGAGTCTGCGCCACCATGGGTGAGTTGCAGCCGTCACGCTGCCTGCAGCTAAAGCCCTGAAGCCTAAACCCTAAAGCCCCAAAGCCCTAAACCCCAAACCTTAAACCCTAAACCCTAAACCCCAAACCCTAAACCCTAAAGCCTAAAGCCTGAAAGAAAGAACTCATGGAGTGCATGATACGGAGGTTTACGAAAATAAGGGACCCCTAACATAAACCCCAAATAGTAGGATCCCCTTATAGTGAGAAGCCCAACAACCCTAAACCCTAAACCCTAAACCCTAAACCCTAAACCCTAAACCCTAAACCCTAAACCCCCGTACCTGAACGTGCTGAAGGCTTCGCCGTCCACGGCCATGGAAACCAGCTCACCGAACCTTGGCTTGAAGGACTTAGGGTTTAGGGTTTAGGGTTTAGGGTTTAGGGTTTAGGGTTTAGGGTTTAGGGTTTAGGGTTTAGGGTTTAGGGTTTAGGGTTTAGGGTTTAGGGTTTAGAGTTTGGGGTCTGGGGTTTGGGGTTTGGGGTTTGGGGTTTGGGGGGTTTAATTCGGGTTTGGGGCCTAGGGTTTAAGTAGGGTTTAGGGTTTAGGGTTGAGGGCTCAGGGTTTAGGGTTCAGAGTTTACGGCTCAGGATTTAGGATTGAGGGTTTGGGGTTCAGGGCTTAGGGTTTAGGCTCAGTGTTTCGGATTGAGGGTTCAGGGCTTAGGTTAAACCCTAAAAAACCCCATAACTAAACCCTAAACCCCAAACCCTAAACCCTAAAGCCCTAAACACAGCACACCAGGTGGCAGGTTCGAGGCTTCCCGCCAGGTGCTTCGCAGCTGCCGGTGGCTCGACTCCATGCTGGCCATGGCAGCACTGTAGCTCCTGGGTTTGGGTTAGGGTTCAGGGCTTAGGGCTCAGGGCTCAGGGCTTAGGGCTCAGGCCTTAGGCCTTAGGGCTAAGGGCTTAGGGCTGAGGGCTTAGGGCTTAGGGCTTCGGGCTTGGGGCTTAGGGCTTAGGGCTCAGGGCTGAGGGCTGAGGGCTTAAGGCTTAGGGTTTAGGGTTTAGGGTTCAGGGTACTTTGGGCAGCTTATCTTATCAAAAATCTAGGGTCAAGAATGGGATATATGTTGTTAATTGTTGTTTCGGCTCCCTCAATCCCTCTCATCCCCCCAAACCCTCAACCCTCAACCCTAAACCCTAAACCCTAAACCCTAAACCCCAATTTTGAACAAGCAGCATCATCAGGTCGGAGAAGCTCGAAGAGCAAGCCTCAACTGGCAAGTGCTTGGTTTTCGTGTCAATGCAAAGGGTTTAGGGTTTAGGGTTTAGGGTTTAGGGTTTAGGGTTTAGGGTTTAGGGTTTAGGGTTTAGGGTTTAGGGTTTAGGGTTTAGGGTTTAGGGTTTAGGGTTTAGGGTTTAGGGTTTAGGGTTTAGGGTTTGGTTTAGGGTTTAGGGTTTAGGGTTTAGGGTTTAGGGTTTAGGGTTTAGGGTTTAGGGTTTAGGGTTTAGGGTTTAGGGTTTAGGGTTTAGGGTTTAGGGTTTAGGGTTTAGGGTTTAGGGCTTAGGGCTTAGGGCTTAGGGCTTAGGGTTCAGGGTTCAGGGTTCAGGGTTCAGGGTTCAAGACTTGGGGTTTGGGGTTCAGTCGAAGACACTTGGTAGTTTTCGAAGTCTGTGAAAGCATTCTGAAAGCTTCTCGTCTCATCCTCCGCCGCCTCGACATGGGGGGGAGGTTTAGGGTTTAGGGTTTAGGGTTTAGGGTTTAGGGTTTAGGGTTCAGGGTTCAGGGTTCAGGGTTTAGGGTCTAGACTCTAGGGTTGAGTGTTTAGGGTTTTTGGGTTTAGGGTTTCTTGGGACAGACCAAAAGGACCCTGCCTCATGGCCGTTTTGGGGACCGAAGAACGAGCATACTGATCCAGCCTCCCTCAACCCTGGGCCTAGATGACCCTGGATGGGTAGCTCTCGGACTTAGGGCCC